CCCCCGTTTCTCCCCGCGAATGCAACACCACCCTCCACGTGAAAGGTTTGCAAACACATCCAGGCTGTGTCTTAGCAACAGATTTCTCAATAAAGCCGGAAGCTATGTCTCCGCGGTGACAGGTGCTCCTTTAATGCTGAACCGAAATGGAAAAAAAGAGGGTTTTTTTTGGTTGTGTTTTTCTCCTGATCCTTGCAGGCTCTGAAAGCTGAGGTAAATGACAAATCAGAGACCTATTCACCCGCGGGAGCCATCGCGGCTTTGCCCCGGCGGCCCTCGCGGCCTCTGGGGTCGCAGACTGAAGGGGATGGAGTCGTCTTTCTGCTCGCGGCTCGAATGACAGTCCCTAAAAATAAATGCCGGCTACGGATCAGAAACATGGGTTCCTCTCAATGGTAGGGGGCGATTACAAGACAAATTATCCAGTTATTTCCGCGGAGAAAGCGTTTTTCTTTCCTCCCGGAAGGTGCGACACGTATCCCCTTTCTGTGAAACTGTGGGCCAGGTAAGGAGAAAGTGAGCGCTCAGCCCGGCCGGTGTGGCTCAGCGGTCGCGCGTCAGCCTGTGAACTAGGAAGTCGGGGTTCGAGTCCCGGTCGGGGCACGTGCCTGGGTTTCGGGCTCGATCCCCAGCAGGCGGCGGGCAGGAGGCGGCCGATCAATGACTCTCATCATTGAAGTTTCCACCTTCCTCTCCCTCTCCCTGCCTCTCTCTGAAATCAATAAAAACATAATTTTTTTTAAAAAAAGCGAGCACCCCAATATTCCCAGGTGAACCAGTGATACTTAGAATATAACCTCCTACCGCCCTTCGTAACACTGGCAACAATAGTTACTGCACTGAAGGCTTGGGATACGTTAGATACTGTTAGAAACTTCAGAGATGATCTCGTAATGAGGCGGGTGCTCCACTTATCCCCACCTTGCAGCTGAGGAAACTGAATTTCAGGTCAAGTTAAACCCCTCGCCGGGAAGCCTGCCCTGCCGTTAGGCAGGTACCCGACTCTCTGGGCCCCGTTCGCTCTAACCCAGGATCCGTGTTTTCAAACGTTTGCCGTCCCTGCGTGGCCTCTCCCCGGAGCTGCTCTGCGGGGACGGATCCCCCGCGTCGAGGAGGAACCGTTTCTGCGGCGAGAGGAGCCCAGGGCTCCCCGGGAACGAATAAGAGCGGGTCGTGCGTGTCGAGGGGCATCCGCGGCTCAGGCCGTGCTCCACGTGAACGGCAGCCTCGGGGCTGCGACGTGGGGGCCCCGCCAGCCGACGGCGAGTGCTGCCCAGTGAGGCCAACCCGGGCGCATCGGGAACGGGGCAGGAGTGGCCGGGCCCTGAGGAGCCGCCACCCCGCGGAGTGAGACGGTAAAGTGAAGGGACGTGCATCTTACTCAGGCGGTGGGCGGGCGGTAAAGCCTCCTGAGGGTGGGGAAGGGGCCGCTGGGCTCTCCGAGCACCGGGACGCAGGGCGACCCGATCCCGGGGACAGGCGGGCCGGGGCGGATTCCAGGCCCGAGACCCGGCGAGGGAGGTGACGGGGCCGCTTGAGGCCGCAGGTGCACGTCTAAAGCGAAAGGACCCTGGGTGAGCGAGTCAGGACCTAACTCCGTGGGAGCCGGAGACCGACTGGATTTAGGGCCTCAGGGGGCGGCCGAGGTTCAGCGTGAGGCCCGCGTTTCCGGATTAAGTGAACCGACGACAGGACTGCGGTTTTCCCACAGGAAGAGATGTGCAGATTTAAAACTTTCACTTCAGGTTTTGTTTTCTTTGAGCTGGAGCGGTTAGGCTTGAGCCCGCTCGCCCCGGGCGACCCTGATTCCCCTGCGCCTGCTTCTTTACTGGCAAAGTGCACGGCGCGGATTCGATTTCGATTTTGAAATCGGGCTCCTCTGCGTCGCCCTAGCACCCTTCCAACGGATTCTTGCCTGAGCCAGATTCCAGGTTAATGTGATTCGTGCAAACGTGGGCTCCATCCCCTCTTGCTCGGCAGACGGGCCGCTCACGGCCCCTTTACGATGCTCCTCACAGGCCTTCCCCATCCCTCCTGTCCCTGCCTCGGTATCGGTCCAGCTCCTCTACAAGCCGGCCGGGCCCCCTGTTCAAGAGGTCACCCCGCCCACCTCGAACCACCGCCCCTGGCCGCGGCCGGCTCCCCACGGCGCGCCCACCCCTGAGGGCGTTTACCTCGCCACGGTCCCGCTTGCAGCTGCTGTGTTTCCCGCGCCTGACATCTGGGTCCACTTCCCGCGCCCGGAGGCGAGGCCTCTGCATTATTTATGCAGCCGCCACAGGAAAATGAAGGCGAGGCTGGGGCCGGGAAGAGGCGAATTCTGGGGAACGTGCTGGAAACCCAAAGCAGCCACGCTTCCAATTAAGCCGAGCAAGGCTCACGAAAGCCCCGGAGATGCCAGCCCCTGCGCAGTGTTTTGCAGACGGCGCTCGGCCCCGGCTCCCGAGTGGAGTAAACATCTCCATGAAGGGGATGGTATTAGCGGCACATTCAATTACCCTCCGAGAGCCTTGTTTACAAGGCCGCGTGTCCCAGCCCTTTGATCGGCAGCCGCGCTCCCCCCTTAGTGAGAGGTTTCGTCAGAGTCCCCGGGAGCATCCAGGCCGCGGAGGCGACCACAGGGGGCGGGTGCCGAGCATATTCCCGCAGCTGCCTGAGGGGACGGCCGCTCTGCGCCCTTCCCGGACGCGAGGGACCTTCACTCACGTGGGGCCCCTGTGGGCCCAAGTTCCCACGTGGCCTCAGAGCGGCAGCCTTGGCTGGCAGGCAAACGCGGGCCCCTCCTGCCGGCGTCTCTAGGCTTCTCTGCTCGCAGGCCCTCTCTCGGGCTGGATGCAAAGACCTCTTGTTTCTACAAAGATGTCTTCTTCGGCTTGAAATGCATGTCTCCGCGAGGTCGCCCTGACTTGGGGCAGCCTCCTTTGTCTCTTAGTCTCATTTCAAAGCTCAGGGACTTTGCTTTCCTTCATTTATCTTTAATTTTCTGTATTTAGATAAGTGTCTACCTTTGGTGACATGCGCGGGTCTTGCATGTACAGATCAATGAGTTTTGGTCCAAGTGGCTCTTCAATCAAAACAGAGAACATCTCCACCGACCTAGAAAGTTCCCTCCTGGTCCCTTCCAGAGGCAAACACGGATCTGAACTTCTGTTATCACAGATTCACCGATCTCGAGATTGACACAAATAGAAAAAACGTGCAGTTTGTACTCTTCAGGGTCTAACAGGATTCACTCAATGTGCCAAAATTCACCCTTGAGTGTATCAGGACTTCACTGTTGGTGTCATTTTATTTTTCATTGTTGAACAGTATCCCAGGGTACAAATATATCCATATTTACTACGTTTTGGGGCTTCTGGATCCAACATCTGGAGCAGGTTTCCTAACCTTCTAACAGGAGAGACAGAAAAATTGGGGTTCAAGAAAACGGGAAAGGGTCCGTGTGATACCAGAGGAGTTTCTGCCACCACCTAATGAAAAGCTTCGTTTCCTTTACTGTATCCCGTGACCCCAGGCACAGAAAACCTGCCAGAACTCCACTTTCACAAAGCAGAAGGTCAAGAATCCTAGTCAGGCCCACAGGCCCTCTGAGCAAAGTATGATTCTCGACTCATTCATCCCCCAAAACCGATTCACCCTTCAAGTCCAGCTCAAGTGGCACCTCCAGTCTCTAGATTTTTCATAACCCTCAGGGGAAATGACTCGACCCTCAGCTGTGTTCCTACAACAATGTATATGGGCCTTCCCTACAGTTTTTACCACTTGGACCCATTGGTTTCTTTGCAGACATGACTCCGATTTCTCACTAAACTATGGACTCTTTGAACAAAAGAATGAGGTTTTTAAAATTGAAATTGGTGTTGTACCCCTGGAACCTAGCACAGTGATTATACACACATGGCGTAAACGAATGGGCAAGCGGGTGACCGCCCAGATGGTAAGTGGGTG